AGAACTCTACTTCAGATAAGAAGAACATCACGAACATGCTTCGGTGGTACATGACATTTAGGCAATCTCTTTTGGCCATCATACCGAGCATCTTCAAGAAAATCAAGAAGTCCGCTGAAGCTCAACTGAATTGAGCTCTCGGCTCCATTGATGCAAAGGGCTAGATTGTTGAGTATTATGTGTTGCGTTATTGCCCAGTCTTTTTGTATATCCAGTTTGGGCTTGGCCATCCGTGAGTATAGATTAGGGTTATGTAGTATTATATATAGTACATGCATGTATGCCTTAGGAGATATAATAGTCATTTATTATCTTTGTTGCTTTGTAACCTTTAGCATCTCTACAGTCGAAGTTCTTAATCGAGCTCTTCTGAGGTGTTCAAGTTAATCATTCGACATCAGTTTAATCATGCTTTGGTCTTAATTCTTTATCTTTCTGCCTGAATCTAACGATCATTAAGGAGTTTATATTCCAACAATATAGAGCTTCCGAGTACAACTCTGGAACTATATCGCACCTGAAATATATATAGAATCCTAAGTATAACTTAATATCTACATTAGTACAAAAACATGCTAACAAGTTGATCATAGTTGTATATATTCAAAATATTATATTTAGAACAACTATATCTCGGTTATTATAACTATCTATGTTGATACCAATATATTATCATATAGACACAATAGTAACATCTATAAAATATTTAGCATGCGTTTTCCCCCGAAAATATTAGAAAATGCGGGGATGTGAAACTCACCTTAATAGCGTGATTTTATCTAATCAAAGCAGAAACTATCAGCGTTACGCAGTCGTTGGGGTCGAGATGCAAGAGGGCTTCGACAAATGAGAGAAAGGACATAAGTAAAGTTGTAAGAATAGATGAAGTCAGAACTGTAATTTATAGTAAGATTTTTGGCCCTCGTGACGTGAGAAACTCCTTGTTCACGTCGTGAGTTTGGAACTTATCTCTTCGTAGACTTGCCATCCGTCTTCTAGCTTCCGAAGGTGGCCATATGACTCCTCACATCGTGAAAAACTCCTTGTTCATGTCGTGAGTTTTGATCTTATCACTTTGTAGCCTGGTCACGCACTTTATAGATATGTATAAGTTGAAGAGGTTTAGATACATTGTGTTATATAAATACTTTTGTGAGGATATTTGGACATTTTACTTTTTTCACAGGCATCAGAAATGTAACAGCCCGAAATTCAGGTACAACCAATTAGCCTTCATCTTTTATTTAATTGTCATTTTTTTTGGGCCTTTGGGTTGGGCGAGTACGCAGGGCGTTGAAGGAGTACGCTGCGTGTACTCGCATGCCTCATTAAAACGGGTTATCAATCGGGTACGCTGGGAGTACCCAAGGTTACGTTGGGCGTAACCGGTTCAGACCCAAAACCCTAATTTGGGTTTGTTGGTTATAAAATGAATGAGATGGCTTGGTTCCTCAGCCACCATCCTTCAGAAAGAAACCCTAAGAGAGTTGTTCCCTCATGTATAGCTTGAGTGTGGGTGTTCTAAGCTTTGAGGTGTCATTTCACGGTAGCAAAAGAGAAGAGGAGTCCATTGTGGAGGATAGAAGTTGGTGTACAAGTGTAGATCCATGGATAGCAAAGGTTGGAGCTTCTTCCTGAGGTAAAAAGGTAAGATCTTGCCTTGTACCTCTTATGGTATGCTTCTTGGACCAATTTCTAGAGTTTTGGTGCCAAAGATGGAGACTTTGTGAGCAAATAGTCTCCATTGGCCTAGATCTATCATATTCCAGGTCCATTTGAATTGTATGTTCATAAAAATGTAATCTTGGACGTAAATGATTAGCCATTCATGAGATCTAGATCCTTTGAGTTGAAAAGGAAAGGTATTAGAGAGTGCAGGAGCCTTTACAGCCATCCCAAGGCTTAAAGGTTCCGACTTTATGGGTTAGGAGACTTAAAGGGAGCCGGATCTAGAAGTTGAAGAAGTGTCTTAACCATTTAAAACCAAATATAAGGTGTGGCTGAATCTGGGAATTACGTTGGGCATAAATCCTAGTATGCGCAGCGTAAGGGGTTGAGACCCCGATTGTGGTTCATTGAAGTACGCCCCGCGTACAGAAGCCGGTACGCCCCGCGTACTGTGGTATGTTGACTTTTTTTGACTTTTAGGGTTTTGGTCAACATGTGGACTTTGAGTCAAGGAGGGGTGAAATGGTCTTTTTGTTGGATAAGGTGTCTAAGTCCATAACTATTTCTGGTATGTACTTGACCCGACCCGGCATGATCCATTTGGGTTGCATGGCACCATGCAATTGGATAGACTAAATGAGAGAAATAACGCTTGGAGATTATTAATATATTATAAGTTCTAATATATTAATAATATTATTTGATTAGTTTGATCAAGAATTAATTTAGAATTAATTAAGTGATCAAAAGATAACTAATTAAATATATGGGTTGATTAAGTAAATCATCCATATCTTGTATAGTGGGCTAAAAGGCTCCATGGATCATCAAGTTGGGTTCCACCCATAGGATGCTCCATGGATGCTCCATGGGAGTTACAAACCCATGGGTCATGGAAATGAAGAGTCATGACACATTAGGGTTTAACCCTAGATGTGTCAACACTATATAAGTAATATGATCTCCTCCCAAATCGGCTACACTAAGTAATAGAGGGCTTGGCCGATTTTTGAAGAGTGTGTATTCTCTCAAAAGTTCTTCCAAGAGCATTTGGTGTTGTGTGAAGCATTTGAGGCATCACACTTGGGGTGCTAGGCTCACAAGGTTTCAAGGAACACAAGCAACAACAAGGTAAGTTATTCTATCTATACTTTATGTTAAAATTGTTCCCCATGTATGCTAGATAGGAATATAACCTTGGAAATCAACTTTGCATGACAAATTAGACAAACATAGATCCAAGGTTATTAGGGTTGCATGTACACTTAGGAAGTGTTAGAATGCTCAAAACCCATCACTTTTACCCCTCTGTGGGATAATTAAATGGGTGTAGCCTAGTCTTGGAAGCCTATATTAATTAGAATGATATTTCGTTATGATTAGGCAGGGTTAGGTCTTCGTTTCGAGATTTGGAGATAGCGAGCACGTGAGATTCTAGACTTCCTACAAGGTGAGTCTTCTCACTATACTGTACATGGAAGGGTATTTATGTGTGACCGGAAGGTCGGATATGTTATGAGTTGTATGCATTGTATACGAATAAGTTAACCGTTTGTATGTGCTATGTATATTATGCTTGATATGGGCCGAAAGGTATTATGTTATGGGCCGGAAGGCATTTATCTATGGGTCGGAAGGCATTGTGATGTGGACCGCAAGGTCGACGTGGGTAGGACTGGAAGGTTACCGGGTCGGGACGGAAGTCCCCTGAGACACATGGAACGGAAGGTCATGGCCTAGAAGGGTGTATGTGCATAAGTAGTATATTGGGGAACTCACTAAGCATTTATGCTTACAGTTGTTATGTTATGTGTTTCAGGTACTAGCGAGGACCGTGGGAAGACGTCGGCATGATCTGTACACACTAGCAGAGGATTTATTTTATGATCTTGGGATTTATATGTTTTCTATGATGATTTGATACTATGGATTTTTATGACTTGACTTGGATGAAAACATGTTTAAGAAAAGAAAAAATTGTTTTGAAAATTTAAGTTGTTACAACAAAGTATATTATTGTCAAGTTTTAACAATGATAGTCCTCTCACAAGATCCTTTCCAATGAGTTTGTTGATATAACCAAGGTTGAGGTGACCGGGTCTTCTATGGCACAACTAACTGATGTTAGAAGCAGCATTCAAAAGAAGACAAATATTTGGGGCTCATTTAGTTAGTTTAACATCAAGAGGATACATGTTCCCATTTCATGGGGAATCAACAAGGATGCACGTGTTTCTATACATGCTCAAACTCTTGGCTCTGGTAAATAAAACCTCATGATCATTGTCACACAATTGTGCAACACTAATAAGGTTGTGCTTAAGACCATTTACATACGCTACATGTTTAACGGTAAAGTACCCATTCAATATGATTCCATGTCCTATAAAATCTACCTTCATGTTGTTTCCAAAAATAAGATACTGACTTGGCATTGTGATCTTGAAATCTCTTAGGTAACCATTATGCTCAGTCGTGTGACAGTAGCATCCGAAGTCAAGGCATAATGTACCCTTGTGTGGTACCCGACACAAAGAGCCTGGATTTAGATATAAGGCTTAGGTGCCCATGTTCGTTTGGGTCATTAAGTGTTAGCTTTCTTTAGATTTGTTAGAGTTGGGATAATCTTTTCTTGTTTATCATTAACCATTTAGTCTTTCTCCTATTTTTTAAAAGACGTTTTTTTAGCTTTCTTATTGCACATCTTTTTAGGTTTGGTCGATGGAAAAGATGGAGAGTTAGTGAAATGACTAGGAATTCCTAGATAAGGAAATTTGTAGTTCACAAGCATTACAAATTGATCCAACATGGGAAACTAGGTATTTTCCCCCAAACTAATTGATCATTGGAAACCATGATTTTCCCCAAACATGTGATTCCCTCATATGGATAGATAAAACCACAATATGGACCACGAATAGAATTTATAGGGTAATTACAATTCCGATACATCCATGGTTTGGATGGAACATCTCTTGGTCTAATCATTTTACAAAAATCACGAAGATTCTTGGGCTTGAAACAATTATGATAGTGATTTCCAGTTTGGTTCGGAAATCCAGAATTTGAGAAACCATGATTTGAAGTAGAGATTCTTTGATTCTTTGAGGTTTTAGGAGGACTGGTGTATCTGGTCTTCCATTGGCTTGACTTATCCTTTGGTACATATTGGTCTTTCTTTCCTTGTCAGTATTTGTAGTCTTTGCCGCATTGGGTTTTGAAGGATCGACTATAGTTGGACCTTTTTCTTTAGAAACATGAACATTCTCTTTTTCCTTAACTTTAAGGATATTAGTTAGCTTTACAAATGTCTCTTGTTGTTAGAGACTTGGTCAAGAGATTTTTATTGGAATGAAAGGTCTCTTAAGTATTTCAACAATAGTTTCACCCTTGTTGACTTGAATTGGAGATTTCCTAGTCTGTTGTTTCTTAGTATATTTACATCCTAACTCCTTTGTTCCAAAGACTGAAGCACTAAGAGATGAAAATGTTTCTTCACTAGGGAATTTAATGGGTTCATTAGTAGAATATTCTACCGGTTCATATGATTTGGGTTGTTTACCATTACATTTTGAGCTACAGATATTTGATTTTTCAGAAGTGGCATCTTCTGCATTGAAAATTTCCATTGTGGGACATTCAAGAGAATATTCAACTTGAGAGTTACACTTAGTGTTCAGGTTTGGAAGATCATAGGATGATATCACCTCGAATGGGATGCTTGAGAACAAAGTGCTAATTACATCACTACTACAAGCTACCACCTCTTGTTGATCCTCATTCTCTCTAGTGAAGATACTTGGATCACATGACAACAACTCTGGTTGAGTACTGGGACTCATGATTTGTTTTTTCATTTCATCATAACTATAAGAACAATAAAGATTGATAGATTCTATATGATGAGAATAATCAATGACACTGAACGACAATTATTGAAAAGGTGTCGAATGTATGGATCAAAGAAATAGAACAGTTCATGGAGGCGAAACTATTCTGGAATTGCTTCAAAAGTTGTAACCCCAGATGTTACATGCACACTATATACAGACAAAATAAAGCAGAGATTTCAAACATGTACATATCCATTTTGGAATCTGAATTAAACAAAAATCTGAAATAAACAATTTGAAACAACTCTAACTTACACCTAACAATCCCCCGCTTTGTGTCGAATGGAAAGAGGTCTTAATTTTTTTCTTTGTGCATCAAAAACTTTTGGCATAATCTTCAGAAGCGATAATCGGAAAGACAGGTACCAAAGAATCATATTTGAAACACACTTTACATTGGCACCAGTATTGGCTTTGTGAGCTTCAGTCGAAGATAAGATTGTTTTGAAAGCCGTTGTTGAGTACAAGTGTTTTTCCCTTAAAAACAACATGCAATTCAAAATTACGTCACCTTCCTTCCTTTTGTAAATGATCCTTCAGGGCTTCTTCCGAATTATCCATGGCTTCAAAATGTTGGATGTCTTCTAGTTGTTCATATGGCTTCATAATAGGCCTCTTCTTCATAGCCAAAGCAATCTCGACATCCATTTTTGCGGTTTCAAGGATGTACCACTTGATAATCCACTTCAAGTGTTCAATAATGGGCTCATAATTTTGGACATCCTTAGCCACAATGTAAAACATATACAACCAATCATAAGGCTTAGTGAATGGCAAATCACCCGAGGTGAACTTGTGAAGAATGTGATTGGCACCTCGGAATCCTTTCAACTGGATATTGAAGAAGTCTTATGTCTAAATCGGTAATCCAACTTTTACTACCATAATTATTTTCAAAATCCATGTCATATACTGCGGTTTCACAAACAACATTGTCAGAGATCACGTATTTCTCAATCTTATCGAAACATCAGAAGAAAAATGCCTTGGGAGTTAAGGAAAAAATAAAAATGGCACTCCAAATCGTTATATAGGTCGAAGGCAATAGTTGGATACAGCTAGTAGAGATTTGGATCATCAACGGCTTCTTTTTGTGTGCGCTCGACAGACCAGGCAAGAAACATTGATTTCTGAGTTTCAAGAATTAATTTTGAATTCTTGGCTTCAACTTCTTCTGCTTCAAGTTTATTTCGGAGAGCATGGAGATCATTAAGCTCTTTTTCTCTTTTCTCTCTAGTAACGCTTTCCATTTTGAATATATTCATATTTTAATCACTATCTTCTTTAGAAACACCTTTTCCTTTATATTTTTCTGATCCAGAAGCTTCATTATCCTTCTGATCAGACACATTTTCCAAGATTTCCTCCTCTTTTCACCCTTGTTTCACAAAAGCACTGCTTCCAGAAACACCCTTTAATTGATTTACGATTGGAAATACAGGTTGGAGTTTTTCCACGAGATTTTGGCTAATAAAGTTTGTGAATAAAGAGTCACGAGTATCAACAATTCGCAACAAATATTGTTTAATTTTTGAAATGCACCCTTTAACCAAATATTTCTCTTCTTCAAGTTCTGAAATGTTGAGATTTTCATTATTCACCTTCTCATAAAGAACCTTCGTTTTCTACGTCTGTTTAGCTAAGGCATCCATTATCTTATTTTTAATAGCCAAGTCATTTTGTAACTTGATGAGCTATTTAGTGATGGTTGTGTTAAGATCAACATTATCAAGTTTGAAATCTGCATGGAGAGTAGAAAGAGCTTCTTTTTCAACTTTCAACGATGATTTGAAGCCTTTGATGACCTTGTTCATATAAGTAATACTCTTGTTAGAAAAAGTCCAAAAGTCAACACTGAATTCCTTGACATTAGTTTGTAATTGTTGAACATTTTCAGAAGCTTATGTGATTCTCTTTTCAGAAGCTTAAGCATCTTTTGATGATTGTTCAATGACTTTGGAATTTGAAGATTTGGTCATTTCCACACTTGTTCGATGGGTTTTTAGAATGTTTTCCCATTTTGTAGAAGAGAAGTCATTGTAATACTCCATGATAGAATCAAGCTTCTCATTTAACTACTTGAATTAGCCTTTCATCATAAGTGTGTTGTCATCATCAATTGAAAGATTTCTGAAGACATGTTGAAAGATAAAATCTATAACTGGTTCTTGATCATCTCCATATAATATCTCATTATCATCATCAACTGGTGGAACAGAAATTGATGAAGTTGGAGGAGCTATGAAATCTATGAAGATATGTGAGGAAAGTGGGATTGAGACCTAAGGAAATGAAATTTCAACTATACTTTTTTGTGGGAGTATAGGGACGGATGAAATCTAAATTGTGGAGGTGACTGGTGTGGTTGTCATTGGTAATGCCGGTTGAGTGATTGGAGGTGGTGGAGTAGTAGTGAGGTTCATAAATGGTTCTTGTAGAATACTTTCAAAAATATCAGATGTGGGTATGGAGGAAGATGGTGGAGAAGATAACTTCTTAATTGTTTCAATATGTGCCAGAAAAGAAGTGTGAGCGGTATCTTCTTCATTTTAGAGTGTGTTAACCACCTAGACTTCTGTCACTGTTCTCTCTTTCTATTATTATTAAATTATCGGAGATGGAGAACTCGGTTTCTGAAATGGTTTCTTTCTCCTCTTTGTAATATTGATTGTTTATGAAGTAGCTAACTTTGCTTTCCTTTTTCATCCCCTCTTAGGTTTATCACCTTTCTCTATAATATGTTGCAATTCCGTTGTGTCACACCCTGAAAACCGAAGGCGGAAACATTTTCGGGGTTGACTCCATGTTGAGTATCAAATCCAATGCACATAGTAATCAAAGTAAACAACCATTACATTACATATATGAAAGTTTACATTTGTTTCAAAATTATGTTGTACAATTGTGATACATAGTATATATGAACAAAAGAAAGACGTGTCTTTTACGCATTCCGTCTTCACCAAAAGAGATCACCAGGTACCTGTCTAATGCAGACCTGAGAATACAAACAGTTTGAAAATCAGCATAAAGTTGGTGAGTTCGTAAGATGTTTGTTTTCTGAAAAATGTACCAGTTTCCTTTAGTTTTATGAAAAGTTTTGTTACCCAAGAAAATCCCATATTTTCTTATGTAAAACAGTTTAGTTATCTTTCATTACCAGTTCAATTATGCGTTATATGTTACCCCAGGAAAATCCCATATTTTCCTAAATGCAAGACCGATTGAATATCACATTGTATAGTTTAATACACAAAACTATATATTGAGAATCATAGGATTACTATCCCGAATTATATATAAAATACTTTAATATACATGAACTGTAGAAGAAAATTAGTTTGAAAACCTTGGGACTAACATCCCGTACTACATATAAGATAGTTTGATATACATGAAAAATATAGATTAAAACCCATGGGACTACCATCCTAGACTAGACATAGATTCGAACCCATGGGATTATCATCCCGTACAAGATATAGTTTCAAAACCATGGGACTACCATCCGGTACAAGATATAGGTTGAAATCATGGGACTATTATCTCGTACTAGATACAAGATCAATAGACTGAAAACCATGGGACTATCATCCCGTACTAGATATAAGATCAATAGACTAAAAACCATGGGACTGTCATCCCGTACTAGATATGGAAACTATAGATAGAAAGTAGATATGGAATCGAAACAAAGTCAAAACCAAACCCAAAGCGATACCGTGAATAAACTTATATTAATACGTATTGTGAGTCGGGTAACCATACTGATACAACAAAGAGACCTCCTCGACGTTTGTTAGACGTTGAAACTCTACCCAAGAATTTTTCACCCCAGGCGTGCCCGCCTAACTGTAGCTAGCAGTTAAGGTGTGGGATTGTCAGTCCCGAAGAGATCTATTCACAAATTCCTCGCTCTCCCTCCAGGAGACTCAGGTTACACTTCCGAGGAGGATTTACTGATAACCCAAAGGGTAATGACGAAACTCAAAAGCTAGTACTAAATTATTCACAGGGTTCTCATACGATATTAAAAGTACAAAAGATTACGAAACAGAATACATACAATGAAACTATCTGGCAATACATTCAAATGAAACGGAGATAAACTGAATCAGACATAGTTTATCTAATAACTTTATATATATACATATATATATATATAAGTACATGATTAAACAAGAACTAAAGAACCCTAAATTATTCCCATAATAATTTAATTAGTTTGGTTATTTCCTTAACTGAAATTCATTTAGTTGTGGCTGATAAATCACCCCTTATGCTCAGCATAATACATAAGGGGTAAAGATATTTATAATTTTCCAAATATTTATTGAAATTCATCAATGTCATGTTTTGAAAACATTTGTAATTTGCTTGTATCCCCCCCCCCCCTGAAAACATTGAAAAACCATTTAAAAAGGGTAGGGGTATGAACTCACAAATCGCAGAATATGTCGGTTTGGATGCTAAACATCGTTGCTGGGTTTGCAAACGCACGAGGTTCCTATGAATTATGAAAAGATACACATTTGTATCTAACTAGGAGTTAGATTATTTATTTGTCAGCGAAAAACACTTCTAGTTGCGGAAACACCTCATTACAAGTGTTTGGAAGGACCCGGGTGGCGTTTGAAGTCACGTAAGGCTTGGATATGGAGTTTACTCTTCGAGAGTAAACTCATAGAGCAGTTTTTGGCCCCTTAACACCACATCCATATGAGATCACGACCGTGAACTCATAGATGGTGTTTTTTTTTGTGCAAAATGGCTTCACAACATTTGGGATTAATGCTAGGCTTGGGTTTTAGGCTTTGGAAGGAATTAAAACTCACTTAGGGACCATTTGTTGGAGTTTACGGCAGTAAACTTGGAGTTTACGGCCGTAAACTCCCCCACACGTAGAATCCTTAATGTTTTGGTCCTTAAACAATCACATGTGATTCCAATGGTTTTTCCTAAGCCTTGTATGGATTTTTAGAGGACTTTTAGCATGAATTTTGGAGTCTACGGCCCATGAACCCCCTCATGGCCGTGAACTCTTTAGATGGGGGATTTAATATGTTTTAAGGTCCAAATCTTGTTTGTAGTCACTTCTATAATTTATCCCAAGGCTTATGGTGTGTGTAAATGGCATTTTAACACATTAGAAGGAGTTTACTCCCCAAGATAATGAGTTTACGGCCCAAGCATTATGTTGGGCAGTAAACTCAAGTTTACTCCTCTAAATTAATGTTCAAGGTGTTCCAAGGCTAAATCCAATATTCTAAAATTCATATCTAAGCTACAATGGAGTTTTGGAAGGGTTTAAGGGCATAAAAACCCCATTTATATGAGTTTACTGCCCAAGCATGCTCTTGGGCAGTAAATTCATGTTTACTTTTCAAACTCCATGTTTAAGGCATTCTAAGTCCAGTCCATTAAGCCATTAAGCCATATCTAAGCTCCAAAGGTCGATTGGAAGGGTTTTTGGGCTCCAAACCCCATTTTATCTGAGTTCACGGCCTAGAATTGTTCTAGGGCCGTAAACTCATAAATATGGTCCTATTCCATGATTTGAACTCGAATTTGAAGGCCTATGATGTTATACTAGGAGTTGGGGTAGTTACCTTGGTGATTTCGAGCTTAAATTTGACGATTTTGGACCC